AGCTGCTGGGTTTGTTGTGATGCTCCAATAAATTTGGAAAATTTGGAAGCTACTGATTACATACAATGCTCGGACAAAGAGAATGAGGACATGTTGGAGGTGCTTACAAAATACTTTCGCCATCTGTGTGTGCTTTTATTATTAGCATCGACCGCGCTAACCGGCTGACCAATGAAAAGACGTCAGTCTCAGTGCGGCGGGAAACACAAAATGTTTCTATAGTCCACTATCTGGGACCCCGGGACCGAGCGTCGTAGGGGGAGCTGTGTGTGTGTGTGCGTTTTCGTCCTATTTATTATGGCGAAAGTCCCCCCATTTCTCGTGGTGAGACGTGTACTACACCTCTCAGCGTATGTATGTAGAGTACTACACTTTTCAGCGTATTTTTTCGTACAACTACAACCTTCCAGGGTCACAAGAGGGGGTAAGCACCAGAGCTTTTTTCTTCTTTTTGTTTCTATTCATGCCCCACCTTCCTCTTGCGGTGCGTGCTGATTTTTTTTTTTATCGCGACAAGGGTCCAGGCGTCCCTTTCCCTCGTCAACGGTGCTAACGTCGAAGTTTGGTACTCACGAGAGCTTTTTGGCGCCCAGGTTCGTTCCAAATTTTTTGAATATATTTGGACAAACGCCTCTCTCTGTACAAGTTCCAAAATTTCGGAAAATTTGCACTTTTGAACAATAAATTGGAATGTATAAAACGGCCCTATAAGATGTGCCTGCAGATATGTGTAATTTCCGATCCAACAAGAAGAAACAGTTTCTTGTCGGATAATGAGATACGACTTCTACTTGTTTGTGACTGGCAACAACGACATATATTCAACAGCCTGGATGTCCGTGGGCCGCGGGGATATTGAATATGAAACCTTGAGCCTAAGTCTTCAGTGGATATGATGCTCCCCTCGCGACCTTGACGCCTTTTCCATTTTGGATTGAGTGCAGTTCTTCCACCACCAGAATTCATGCTCAAGTTCACACCGCCGGCTCATCCTCCCTTTGATGTCATTCGCTCAGACTACGCCATGAACACTGTTTCTGGTCGGCGTTCCGCCTTCATGTCAGCCCAGAGGCGTGCGACTCGGGAGGCTCTGCATGGTCTCGTCATCATTCGCGATGGGCGTTGCGTACCCCCTTTTTTAGAGGGTGAGCCAGACCCTGAGTCAGGGCCAGAAGAAATCGTGGACGGTATTTCCTACCTGGTGGTCAACGGGAACTGCACCGAAGCAGAAAAGGTGTGCTTCATTCGGGTAAACCTGTGTTCTAGGCTACCCTCCTCTGCGATAGAGAGGGTAATACTGTATGGTTTGCCTGGTCGTTTTTGCCCACTATTGGTGCAGGAAATATGAGTCCATCAAGGGCGTCCGTGACGAGGTACTTGTTGTGCTGGAATGTGCCCGGGCATCGTATTGTGAGTTCTCTTGTACGTCTACTCTTGCGCATTCGTTTCCAGGTGTAGTATGTATCTCACCAAGATCTAGGACGTCCACTCATCATGCAAGACGCTCGTTTATGTATGATTTCATGATGACCCCCATCCGAAGAGCATTCCATTCAAGATCACACAATAATACCAAAACACAAAACCGAGAGAGTGCTGATCTGCGTTGATGGAAGCGTTACCCGGCAGATTTTAGTTCGATGGGCTGCAACCCGCACGCCTGTGCTTTTGCCTTCGGCGCCTATCTATGTGCTGTGCGCCAGACGTACAGTTCCTGTGTCTCATGTGCCTCCTTCGCTACGGTCCGTCAATAGTATTTCAGCGTCCCGAGTCATGTCGAAAGTTAATCGCATGATGACACTGTTCCATAGCAGAATTTCAATTTACTTGATGCCCCATTTTTTCATAATCGATGTCCCATTTGTTTGTTGCCAAGATACCGGTCGCTCCGGTGGTCTAGTGGTATCATCATCGTAATCCGCTAGTCGCAGAGGTCGTGAGTTCGAATCTCCATGGGGTTAAAAATTTACGAAATTTGCGGGTGAAAGCGAAACTCAGCTAAAAAGCTCTCGTGAGTACCAAACTTCGACGTGAGCACCGTTGACGAGGGAAAGGGACGCCTGGACCCTTGTCGCGATAAAAAAAAAAATCAGCACGCACCGCAGGAGGAAGGTGGGGCATGAATAGAAACAAAAAGAAGAAAAAAGCTCTGGTGCTTACCCCCTCTTGTGAGCCTGGAAGGTTGTAGTTGTACGAAAAAATACGCTGAAAAGTGTAGTACTCTACATGCATACGCTGAAAGGTGTAGTAAACGTCTCACCACGAAAAATGGGGGGACTTTCGCCATAATAAATAGGACGAAAACACACACACACACACACAGATGGCGAAAGTATTTTGTAAGCACCTCCAACATGTCCTCATTCTCTTTGTCCGAGCATTTAGAGCGGTCCATATGGACCAACAAGAATTGGATACCTCTAACATGTCTCCTCTCGCAGCGGAAAGATGCATGGCAGCACGTGTTGAAAGACAGCTCCAACTTGTCCGAGCGACCAAGCTGCTTCATCTTACCCCAGCGTTGCACGGATCGACTGACGGACGGATGAATAGGGTCTCCCGATTCAACCGCTTCGCAAGTGTTGACCCTAGTGGGCCTATCGCCTGGCTACTGCTGTACGAGAAGAATCGTAGACTTCAGGTGTATGCAGACACAGAAAGTAATCGCCAGAGGAGAGCCACACGTCTTACGCATGAACGAGGAGGGATTACAAAAGCTGCTAGTGCCTTGATCTCCCCAGCACCATCTCCGCGCAACAACGTCACATTGGAGCACCTCCGAAATTTACACCCTGATGAAGATCCTGAAGATATCGCTGCTGCGTGGGATTCCAGCATCAAAGCTGCAGAAGATAGTGAAGGAAGGCACAATATAGACTTCATCGCCGAAGCTGAGGAACCTTTTCAGCTCAAGTTTATCAAACAGTCGGTAAACAAGGCTAATCCGCAGAGTGCTCCAGGTCCTGATGGTCTACGGTTCTCATATCTCCAAGCTAGTGGCATGAGCGATGACTTCTCTGAAACCCTGGCGGACTTCAGCTACAAAGTGTTCTACTATGGCGACGAGCTTCCAGATTTGTTTTGGGGCTTCCAGACCAGTGCCAGCCTTTCGGCGTTGGGAGAGAAGAAACGACCGATCGCAGTTGGAGGAGTTTTACGGCGCATCATCAGTGGCAGCTTTTGCAGGCAGTACAAGCAAGGGATTGCCGACATCTTCGAAGCATCAAACCAGTTTGGAGGAGGCGTTCCAGGAGGAGTAGAGATAGTGGCTTCCACAGCAGCTCTAAGCCACCAACAAGGCAGCACTATCCTATCTTTCGATGGGAGAAATGCTTACAACAGCATTCTCCGATCGTCCATCCTGACAGCAGTAGCCACCCACACGCCACACTTGGTGAAATACTTCGGGAACCTCTACGCTCGAATCAAGGCGAAACTTTTATTCAAAATGGAGGACGGTTCGATCGAGATGGTTCGTTCACAGCGTGAAGTGCAACAGGATGCAATCTGGGAGGGTTCGGTTTCTGTGTAGGGCTTCTTGACACGATGAAGGAGTTCAACGACAAGCCACCAGTGCCAGGAGCCAAGCTCATTGGATACGTCGACGACCTCCAAGTGCATCTTCCACCAGGTTTGGCTAGAAATATTCAGGCCATCGCCACCGTAACCAACTGGATCCAAGACCACCTGCTGCAAAAAGGCATTGAGCTCAGCCTCCCGAAATCGAAAGTCCTTTTCCCAGANGGTAACCCTGCTGAGTTGATACGCCGCCTTTCCACACTTGACGACCCGCAAGCGAGCTACCAACTGCTACGGTTGTCTGGCGTTCCACGCTTGTTTCATCTGCTGAGAACGATTGCACCGAGCATTACCAACACTGCCGCAAGAGAACATGACAACCTGATGATATGGGCAGTAAGCAAGATCGTTCTCGGCAAAATGGCAAACACTGTGGGAATTCCAACCGTGGAAGAGGT